GATGAAATGCAGCAGCGCCCATAGCTCTGCATGTTGTTTTGGATTGGGGTACCCGTGAGCAAAAAGCCCGGTTGCGACAAATGAAAAACCGAGCAGATTTTTCCAGCGGGAACTCTGCGAGGACTTTATCGCCTGCGCCTCGTCCCAGGATCATATATTGCCATTTCACCTTCTGGAAGTACTGCGCATCCAACACAACGAGCTGGTACGAAGTAACCAGGACATGAAACTCAGACTCCCCGTGTGTACGTAATATGCTTCCGATCCCAAAACTTCCTCAAGACTTTCCGATCCTTGGCAGACCCCCAGTAAGGGAGTACCTTTATATTCGGCACGAATCGCGAAATCTCCTGCTGCCAATTATGCAGCGTCGACGCCGGCGCAATAACAAGGAACGGACCCCAGATATTATGTACTTCAGCAAGATACGCCATGACGGAGATGGACTGAACCGTTTTACCCAGCCCCATCTCATCGGCAAGGATACCGTTAATACCCTGCTCGTACAGATTGACGAGCCAATTCAGTCCCTTAAGCTGATACTCCTTCAACTGAGCAGTGAGCATTTTAGGCTGAGAAACCTCAACGTCACCGAAGCTGGTCGGGTTCTGGAAATTCATCTCCCCTTCATCGAAGGCAGCCATCTTGTTATCGTCATTGTTGAACGCGCGTGCCCGCTCCTGCGCCTTTTGAACGGCGTTTTGCGCATTGGCCATGGCAGCCTGTCGTAAAGCAGTTTCATCTTCAGCGTCGAAGTCAAGGTCTTCGAAACTGGTGACCTTCGGAGCCGGCTTCCCATCAGTATCGGGGAGAGGTATGTCAGGCTTCGCCATGGAGGCATCGTCAACGGGGCCGGTTTCATCAGTCTGCTCCGCCTGACTCGTTTTGATTTTCCGGCCGATGAAATGGGAGTACAGCTCCGTCTGGGAAATTAGGAAATTCAGTTTGCGTTTCTGGCGGTTAGCTTCGCGATCAGCTTCTGCCTTCTTAGCCAGTTCCAACTCCTGTCTCTCTGCCATGCGTCGCAAATCACGCTCTTCACGCTCATTTCTTTTCCAGAAGGACATCATCTCCCGCATCGTTCTCTTCGCCCGAGCCTGGGTATCCTTCATACTCTTGTTGGTACGTTCTTGCCATTTCCGAGACTGCTTGCTCGCCAGCTGAGCAGTCTTGCGCAGATTCTCCTGGCGAATGTTCAAAGATGTAGCCTTGATACGATAGACCCGGGGTACATCCTTTCGAGCAATTTCTCTCCATATCGCTTCGTAGAGCACGTTGTAAGCTTTGGATTCGAATGGCGTAGTGGGAGGTGCAGGAGTTGCTTCTTTGGAGCGGGCAGCTTTGGATTCTTTCTTCAGAGATTCCTTTTTCGGATCCTCCTTTGGCGCGAGAGGGACGAGTTCGTCGTCTTTCTCCATAGCCGCATAGGCAGCTTCAGCAGCGTCCTTCTCAGCTTGCTTCTTCTCCTTTGATTTCTTTGGTCGTGCGGAGGAGCCAGACTTGCCGGATCTCTTCTTGGGAGGGGGGGATTTCGAAGTAACGTGGAATGTACTGGTGGTGCCTCCCTCGAGATTTGGTGCCAGCGGTGGGACCTCGCTGATTTCCTCCGGCTCATTTCCCCGTTCCAAGGCACGTTTCGTACTCTTGATCTTCTTTCGAGACTTTTCAACTTCACGCATCAGCCGCTCTTTCTCAGCAACATCTTCAGCCTCAGAGGCTTTCTGGCGAGCTTCATCCATCTTCTGCATCTCAAGACGGACGGTGTTTTCACGACGACGTTTTCTCTGCATATCCTTCTTCCGCTCCTTTTCATCCTGGATCTCTTTCTGCTGAACTTCAACTTGAACGGCAGCCTCATGCTTACGGTTAAACCGCTCAGTGCCGTTCAGAACCTGCTTCTCAAAGACTTTGGCGAGCGCACTTAAGAATTCGGTTTGGCGTCGCTACAAAATCGTCGTTAGTTGTAAATAAGGGAAAAGTTAATAGATCAATTATGAAAAAGGTAAAGGGGCAACTACATACCCTGCGCTTCCGTGCTTCAATAGCTTCCACCTCACGAGCACGCTTCTTCCCCTTGCGGATATACCGCGCCCACTCATGTTCATAACCAGGAGCCTCCAGCTCACGTTTGTCCATGGAGTCAATCCGTTCCATCGCTTTAGCAATCTTTTCGTTCTCACGTTCAGTAATTGACTTCCTTGACTTTGAATTTGAAGGAGCAATAGCCCTTGTAGCGGAGACGCCGTTTGTGGATGGGCGGGATGTATTGTCGTTGTAAGATGGTTCCAGTTGAGCTTGCTGGCGGCGTCTTTCTGAGGCAGAAGATCTGGGCTTCTCGACCTTAGGTGCAGGTGCGATGGCGGGTGGCTCACTGACTTTGGTAACGCGAGGTGGCGGGGTGGACTTGCGGGGGGGGCGTTCTTCAGCAGGGGTGGAAAGAATGCTGGCAAATGACATAGGATCTGTTCTGGCCGGCTTCTAGAGCGAATATAAGTCAGTAACGTAGATATAGACAGCGTGTCTATCTACATGAAAAAAAAAAAAAAAAAATCTCATCCACGTACAGTTTCCTTTGGAGAGGCGGGTTTCGTATCCTGCATCATGGGCGACTGTGACGAATAAACCATGTTATTGGGCCTCACGTCATGTAGAGTCTCAGCCTCCCGCCTTGGCGATCGGGACATGGATTCAGCAGACGGGTGTGTGTGCGACGAGACCTGCTGGCCAAAGTGACTCGGGGGCGGGGAGTGGCCGGACGACGACATGTGCGAGCTACCCCTGTAAGGGCCATGGAGGGGGAACTGGGTGGTTGTGGAGGTTGAATGGGAGGGATACGAGGGAGAGCCGTCTGGATGGGAAGGGGCTGATCCACTCATGGGAGGGAGCGTGGTACTCATCATCGGGGAGGCAGTGTGGCCAAAGGGCGGGCTCCGCGCCAGAGAGGCAGGAGGGTAGCCCGGGGGAGTGTGGGGAGGGGCCTGGTAAGAGTCATTGTTGGAGAAGGAAGATCTGTCTCTGGAGGAAGGGGGGAAGTTTGCGAAATGCGGCTGCTGGGTTGGAGAGTGGACGGTATAAGGGGGTCCTCCCGCCATCACGACCAGGGCTGGCTCTGTTCCTCTGTGTCTCTCTTGGGTGCGGTTATTTTAGTTCTTTTTCCTTCTACTGGCGGAAAGCACGAGTTGGGGCGACAGATGTGACAGGCCAGCGGGTTTGGTTAGGATTGCCAACGATACAAGGGTGGTTGATGGTCAAGAAGGGGAAGAAAGGGGGGGTATTTTGAAAAATTAAAGAATGTACGAGACAGCCATGAAGCAAGCAAGAAGAGAGGAACGGCCCCGGCCTAGGAATTGGTCTGAGCTGGTGCTGGTGCTGGTGCTGGTGCTGGTGCTGGTGCTGGTGCTGTTGGTGTTGGAAGGGGAGGTGTCAGCTGGGGGCATAAAAAGAAAAGGATTCCTGGTGCAAGCAATAAGCCAAAAAGTTGCGGCGTGGAAAGGTTCAACCAGTTGAAGCATATAG